CAAAAGAGTATACTATGAGATGTGCTTCTATGCTCTTCAAAGAAAAAATTGCACAATTTTTAAAGAAGATGAGAGGTTCAGATTAGAAGTACTTCAATAGCCTAAACCGTTTTAACAAGGGCATTTTTGTCTTTGGAGAAAATTACCCTGTATCACCGCCCCTTTCTCCCGCCGTTCTTCTCCACCTCCGGCGCCATCACTCGACCATTTTGTCAAAATCACCATGGCGGCGCTACCCCCGAACAAAGTTGTCGTAGGCGCCAGTATCTACTCTGGTCCTCTCGATGAAGCTTCTTGCCCGTGATTATGTCATCGTGGTTAGGACTGCACTGCAGCCTGATCCCAACACTGAGCAGATCCATTATCATCTCTGATTTGGTTGCTTTAATCAATAGCATCACGATTAAGTAATTCAGCTAGTTCTCTCAGGTTTGATGCAGAGGCTACAAATAAAAAAAACAGATCGGCTTATAACTTTTGATGCTGTTTCAAGTGATGAACGATTTGTGTTTGTGATGCAATGCAAATGCAATGGTGATCGCGGTTGTTGTTTAGTGGCTTTCAGTTTGTGACGGCGGCGAGCAGAACAAGTTGCCGGTGAGCTTTGGTGTGGCTTCCGAACTTTTAGGATCGGAGATTAACTCCCTCTCAAGGATGAAATTGCCCTTTCTGAATAATGTTTATACTATCCTTTCATCTTCTTTAAAAATTGTGCAATTTTTTCTTTGAAGAGCATAGAAGCACATCTCGTATACTATTATTTAGTAGCTGTGTCAATTACTCCTAGTTAACACCCACTCTAGGGATATGCTGACGTTGCATACGGCATGCTATCTACTTTGCCCATATCCCATGCCTCATGACTTGCTCTATACGTGAGGTTAGGATCTAACAACTGGCTTTGTTAGGACCCATGTGTCGATAGCATATCAAAGATCTACTGCTTACCTGGCGTGCCACATCATCAGTCCATCGCTGATCAGGAACAGCCACATCTTCCAAGGCCATCGGCTGAAGTTCATGGATATAGTATACGTGCCTTATGCATCTCCTCAAGCCCAAGGAGTCGAAGCACTCACACTTTGTGAACCTAGCTTGGCAGTGTCTCACGCTCCACACATATATTTTTTTTTTCATGTTAGAATAATATGTATATATATGGTGTAACAAAGTCACAGTTAGTTACATTCAAATATATGTAGGAGAGCAACTCTGTCCACAATAATTATTCTCACCAGCCAATTATTCTCCACAAAAATTATTCTCGCATGAGAGGACCTTTCATGCGCACATCGATCGGTGTCAGTTTTGCGAATTTGTGTTGTCTGCGAGCAGATGCCGACCTTGTATGATAGGAACACCCAAGAGAGTCATGCCATTGGCAATTAATGAGGAAATTCGCCCTAGTAGATAGGTAATTGTTGCCTTTTTCATTAAAAAAAGTAAAAATAGGTAGCTTATTATTATCAATTTTTATACCAGACCAAGAGAGAGAGAGAGAGAGAGAGAGAGAGAGAGAGAGAGAGAGAGAGGGAGCACGCATGGAGCAGAGCTTTCTTGCTGATTTTCATGTGATTTTTCAATAAGAACAATACTCCTTTACTTTTAGAAAGATCTCAGAGTTCCTTTTGGATTACCAAAGATATATGGATCTCTGAATTGTACCTTAATTAGTAATTCCGAAAACTACAGCCATATTTTCTCCTAAAGTTACAAATTTTCTTTTAGCTAAAAAGTTGTTTATACCACAGCCTCCCCCCCTCCTCCCCTAATAAAAAAAATATAATTGACTAGCTAAATGTCTGTGTGTTGTAACGAGATTTTAAGAAAATCATCATACATGGTAGCAAAATAAAAATATTTTCTCCAATCTATGGTCATCGTTGGTATCGTTTTTTACACATATATCAGCGACATAGTTGCTCCAACTGATAAACAACTAATCGATATAAATTATTTATATGCCTAGAAAACTGTATTTGATCCAGGTAAAGTAATCTGAGGCTCATCAAAACGTTCTCTTAACCTCCCAGTATACCGAAAAGGCAAATAGCTAAAAAAATGAAACGAAATAGGCTGGGAGATAGCCCTGCTGCCTTGCTAGCAGCAGGTTGTGGGTGGGAATCAGGAATGGGTAAAAATTCCCCTTCAGTTGTTCCATATGATCAATGAAGTTTCTTTGAATTATAACTTAAAAATATATTTTTGGAAGAACAAAGCTGATTAATCCTTTGTCTAGAACGTCAAATAATGCTATCAGACGATATAGCTCATACCCATTTTCACATTTACAAATAAATATGATTGTCCTGACAGCTATCCCACTTTCTCGTTTTGACTCTCCTTGTAAGATGCCATAGTACCATTTTTGGGGTAGAATGGTTATTTAACTTATTCATCAATGTACAGCTGCCATAGTATGACTTGTTAGGGGACACATGCGGATGAGCGTGTGCGTATGCACATTTCAAACACCAACAAGTGCATATGCACATTTCGAGAGATGGTGAAGACTAACAAATCTCTATTCTCATTTCCTCGCAAAAAACTCTATTCTCATTAAATCTCTATTGAAAATGCACCTATATATAAGTAATATGGATCATCTATATATTGATATATCTAAAGCTGGCTAATCTCCTTGCCAGCTGATTGGTCCATCTTTTATCCGTTTATTTACTGCCACGTGTCTCTCCACCATTTAGACAACAGGCGTAGCATAAACTCCGTGCTTGCAGCATGCATGCCTCTGCTGCCATTCAGGAATAACTGGGAGTAATGGTGTGAGCCTCTCGCGTAAAAATAATGCACTTTCTAGACGTCTCGCTTGCCCACATTGGTTCGTGGGCAATTGCAGTGCTTTCGCACTATGCCGACCGAGCCAACCATGCAGTAAGCTCACATATTGTCGCATGCATTTGCATAAACTAAACCAGTAACTTGTACGAAGAAAAGCAATAAACAAATTAATTATATATAAAAATTAAATTTCAATATAGACGGTTCAAATACAAGAGGTGAGGATATAAATATATATTTTTTCTATCGCATCTGCAAATTTAACTTCTTAGAAAGTAAATGAGAGATTTCCCGAAAAAAAAGGAGAGATTCCAACAAGTTATCATGTATTTCTTAAAAAAAGTAAAGGTTTTACTTTTTTAAAAAAAATAGAAATCAAGTATATAATAAAAACTATTTTATTCTAATCACAACAGCTTAGATGCTAAACTTTACAAAGTACAAAAGCAATGTAGAATATTCAGGAAATACGCCTTTCTATATATTAAAATATCATCTTCACCACTGATAAGTTAAAACTTAAAACAATATTATTCTATAGCATGATATATGTTATTCTTGGGTGTTCTACAAACTTATCTAGAACACACTAAAGGATACTTTCGATGTAAGATATTTGCATATACTTGATATAAATCTTTACACTAATTGCTATAAATAAATCCCATATTCCAAATAATATCTAAATGAAATATTAGAGGCTAAATTAGCATGCGTGCCAACATGCACGCTCATTTTCTAGTTAGGATTTAAACATAGTAGATAGAGTCATATACCCACGATCACTGCCATGGTTCATCTCAGTTAATTCCCAAGAAGGTCGCCAAGCTCAAAATTACCATGTATGTATCCTAAAGCGTAGAAGTTGGATAAACTTATGGACATATATCTAAATAAAACATTTGAATTTATGTTCTGGTAAAAATTAAACAACCATCATGTATATTCTACCCAATACATCACAATCAATCCCGCTGTTTGATATAGAGTACGCTTCAGGCGTTTTTATCGACCTACTACAACATTCTCACAAAACTGAGATGACCAGTTGACAAGGCACCATTATCCATGATTTATGTACAGCACGCGTGCGGATAGGCATAGCCTACTGTCTTATACAAAATGATAGTTAAATTAATTTCCATTCCATTTGGCATCAGCTCGATCAAACAGACAAACACTGTTCAGAAATACTGTTTCGAAAGATACAGATCAATCATGGCATCCTACGCTTGTCGGGCTACCGCCTGTGAGAACAAGTACCATGAGCATTTAAGCACAAGACTCAGGATTATCACGTATAATTAAGGCCTTCTTTAGTTTCTAAAATAAAAACTTTTCACCCATCACATCGAATGTTTGGACACATACATAGAATATTAAATGTAGACAAAAAGAAAAACCAATTACACGGTTTGCGTGTAAATTGTGAAACGAATCTTTTAAGCCTAATTGCGCCATGATTTGAAAGCAAATAAATAAATAAAATTATTATGTTGTATTACCTCTGTTTTTTAATAGATAACACCATTGAATTTTGGGTATATACATTAGATTATCCATCTTATTAAAAAAAATCATGTGATCATTTAAATCAAATGATCTACTCACTCTATCGAAAAAAAGGCAACCTTCCAGATTCATTGTCCTAGGTGATGTCAAATCACCACCTATGTTACCCTTTTTAGGAGAGGGAGTAAAAATTAACAACGCCATCTATTAAAAAACAGATGTAGTATTCGAGTGGAGGCAATGTGTTATATGCATTACCCCTTAATTAATAACTACTCCATAAGATTATTGGTGATTATAGCTCCGATATATGAGTTTTTTTCTTTTATTCGCTGATGGATGAGTCACCAACCCAAGAAGATCACAGAGTTGACAACACGAACCTCCTCTCGTAGTAATCCTCTCTCGCCTCGTGCCCATCCCCTCGGGTGGCCCCCACCGGAAATCCCACGGCGTGACAGCCCGCCCAATGGCATTCCGCCCCTCCGGATTCCGCGCCCCCCGCCAGCCAATCACCTTCCAGATAACCGTCCTCCCGGGCCCCACCTCCTCCCCCCGTCCCGCCACGTGGCGCAAAAGCGTGTTCACGGGCCCCACCTCCCTGTCAGCCGACCCGCACTGTCGCTGACGTGTGGGCCCGGGGGTCAGGACCCGAGTCCGCGATTTTATAAAGGAAACGGCTCGGGCGCTCGCCCTTACACTACTGTTCCCATTTTTTTTTGTTAACCGCGAAAAGTGTTGTGTTGTTTGGGTAGGCAGGGTGTTCGACGGAATGGCGAGCGCCGCCGCGGCGACGGGCGCGGCGCTGGGGGCGCGCACGGCGCGGGCGTGCGACGGGTGCATGCGGCGGCGGGCGCGGTGGCACTGCCCCGCGGACGACGCGTTCCTGTGCCAGGCGTGCGACGCGTCCGTGCACTCGGCGAACCCGCTGGCGCGGCGGCACCACCGCGTGCGCCTCCCGTCGGCGTCCTCCTCGCCGGCATCCTCCCCTCGCTCGGCGGCCGCTCCACGTGCCGGATCAGACGACCCCGACGCGCCGGCGTGGCTGCATGGGCTCAAGCGGCGGCCGCGCACGCCCCGGACCAAGCCCGGGGGAGGCGGCAAGCACGACGCCTCCGCCGCGACGGTGGCCGCGGCGGCGGCGTCGGCGGTCCCGGACCTCGAGGCGGAGGAGTCCGGGATCGTGGGCGACACCGACCACGACGTCGGGGAAGAGGACGACGAGGACCTGCTGTACCGCGTCCCCGTGTTCGACCCCATGCTCGCCGAGCTCTACAACCCCGTGGCGGCCGACGACGAGGAGCAGCAGATCGAGCAGAAGCCTGCTGCACGCGTCGTGCCGTTCTCGGAGCCGTCGCCGGAGTTCGCCTCCGGCTCGGTGGAGGCGGACGGCCTCTCCGGCTTCGACGTGCCGGACATGGAGCTCGCCAGCTTCGCGGCGGACATGGAGAGCCTCCTCATGGGAGTCGACGAGGGGTTCGACGATCTGGGCTTCTTGGACGACGAGAAGCCTCACGTGAAACTGGACCTGGACATGGACATGGACTTCGCCTCCATCTCGCCGGCGCCGGCGCCGGAGCGGGAGGAGAGGAAGAGGAAGCGGCCGGAGATGATACTCAAGCTCGACTACGAGGGCGTCATCGACTCGTGGGCCCGCGACGGAGCCTCGCCGTGGTTCCACGGCGAGCGCCCTCGCTTCGATCCCAGCGAGTCATGGCCGGACTTCCCGGTAAGCTCTCACGCAGAGATCTGTAGCTTTCTGCCGGAATTGGATTTTCATCTCTCGATGGACATCTCCATCTTAGCTCCTTTATTCCGTATTACCTACTCCCTCCGGCTAAAAAATATAAGCATTTTTAAAATAGTGTTAAGTCAACATTTTTAAAATTTAACTATTTATAGTAAAAAAATAATAATAAAAAAAGATTAATCCTGTAAATTTGATGTTACTGGATGTATTATTGAACAAACTGTCATAATATGTAACTCTTTTTATTTATAATATCTTAGCTTTGTAGATATTGTTGGTCGAAGTAGTATCTCGACGACCGTGTCGAAGTATAAAAATACTTATATTTTAAAATGGATGGAGTAAATAGTTATTATTTTTTTAAGAAAAATGATAACATAGATTAATATGAAATGTATCACCTCCGCAAGCATACAAGGCTTAACTTTTACAATTGCAACGAAAGGAACCAATCAAACTGAAAATAGTTCGTACATCTGCAATTATATTTTTTCATGTTTGTTAAAATTTATAGAAGCTGAATTTAAAACTGTATGTTTATAAAGTGAAATATTTAAATTAATCTATTTTATTTATATTTTTTATAACTATTTATTAGATGATGAAAGCACTTTCCTCTTTCTGCCATTTTCTTCACGACCTAGCTTGTGTACTGTTCTGAGCTATCCTATGCGTGCGTGCAGGCGGGAAGCCGGGGAGGGCTCGGCGCGGCGGTGACGGCGGTGACCGGCGGCGAGAGGGAGGCGCGGGTGTCGCGGTACAGGGAGAAGCGGCGGACGCGGCTGTTCGCCAAGAAGATCCGGTACGAGGTGCGCAAGCTCAACGCCGAGAAGCGGCCGCGGATGAAGGGCCGGTTCGTCAAGCGCGCCGCCGCGCTGCCGCCGCTCCCGCTGCCCAGGCACCAGCATCCGCCGCCGCCGCCGCCGCGCGCTCTGCCGCCGGTGCCGATGATGCTCGCGCCGCGCGGCGCGCACGGGCGCTACCGTTTTTGAGAGCTACCGCTCTCGATCGGCTTCCGATGCGCATGCGCGCGTCGTCTAGCTACATGCATGCATGCATGCTAGCGATAGCCGTTTGCGTGATCCAACAATAAGTACAAAAATACTACTATATATATATACAAACATACAAACTCGTCGAATCATCGATCGTAGCATGTTGGTTTCAGGTTTAATTGTTTGGGGGTAGTGTTAGTTTTGAGCAGAATTAATCTTTGTGAATTAGGGCGCCCTACCACTCTACTATACGTACCAAATGTACCATGCATGTGTGCACTGAAGCAGCCGGCAGGTTGTGTACTTGTGCACAATTTCATGTGCAAATTAAGTAGGTAAGTTATGTGTGTGGTAGCTAGGCTAGGATGTGTACTTTCTTGGTTTTCTGTAAGAAAGATCCTGCTAATTATAAAGGTTGTTGTAGATTTTGATCCCGGATCAATGTATGTAAAGGCCTATATGTATATACTGGTATATATATACAGTGTTTAAGATCAAAGTAGAGAAATTACAATGGGAGCTTGTATAGTTATAAGCATGTAAGTATGTAACTAGAGGATGTTGAAGCGGAAATGGCTAGTGTTCTTCTATTTGTATGCATGCCTTCCAATGCTTTGTTAGTTTGTTGGGTGATCTCAAGAGCACTAACTGTTGTAATCACGTGTTAAATATTTTTGGATAAAAAAACTATAGACATGTTTATAGTGTATACTTTCTATCTATATTTGAATACTTGATCTTGTCTGTTACCTCCTCCATCCCTAAATGTTTGACACCGTTGACTTTTTTAAATATGTTTGACTGTTCGTCTTATTAAAAAAATAAGTAATTATTATTATTTTTTTCTATCATTTGATTCATTGTTAAATATACTTTTATGTATACATATAGTTTTACATATTTCACAAAAGTTTTTGAATAAGACGAATGGTTAAATATGTTTTAAAAAGTCAACAGCGTCAAACATTTAGGGAAGGAGGGAGTATATTATTTGCTATCCTTATGTTCTGTATGGTAGATTCGTAGTTGGTTAGTCGTAACAATATTTACATATCTGGGATCAGGGAAGACACTGAGCATGACGTTTTCACTTTGCCATTCACCAAGTGGAGTAGTTATATAGTATGATTTAGGAATTACGACTCGCAACACATTTTATATTTGCATCGTTACAGATATCACCACAGTGATGATGTGGTGTACGAACGTACATTCTTCTCCATTACCTGGCAAATCTATCGTGAGGCTGTATTTAAAACAAACAATATACAGGACTCCGCCCATGCTAACATTGCATAATACCGTCTCATAGTGAAAAAGATGTTCACATATTCGCGAAAAGAAGATAACAATACATCCACATGCCAATACAAAGACCCATTCGTTCTGTAAGACGCGATCCAATAGAATTACTAGCTCGGCTGTCTTACAAAAGGAACAAAAAAATGAATAGGCACTGTTTAACTTACACTGATACACCCTCTGTTAGTCGCTTGAAATCACCGTTCTTACCATACAATGAACCGCTCAACAACATAATTCTACATAAAAGAATTAGTGGCTACATACAATTGATGTACACGACCCCCCATTTACAAAAGGAGAAATAGACTATTTCTCAATACCCTGCTGCAAGTATTGAATCAAGTCGTACCCTGCGGTAGTCCATTTGTTGTAGGCATCCACACATGTTCTGACCATAAAATTAGCAGCCTCACGCTCGTTCATCTCTGGATGAAAACGTTTTCGCAGATTAGCGATAGGTTCTCCCCTGCTAAAGCAAGGCAGGCCACTGTCCACCATCAAATTAACGGTAGTAATAATCCCATTCATGTGTCTCCTTCCTGCTAGGTACCCTTTGACACACAATCTGAAAGAACAATGCTTGACTCAGAGCATGTGCAACAACTCCAATTCTAGTTAATTAGAAGAAAATGCATGGAAAATATTTACCTCAGAAACTGATTCCAAGTGTCACTCTTCATTGTTCCAGATGGATCAAGCAATTGAGTCATCTCATGGCTTAACTTGAAATGTGCACTTTCAAACCCCATGTTTCCTCCAGGCGAAATCTCCAAAATAAATCCAAAATCAATATGGACTAGTCTCCCGTGGCTGCACAAGCAAGATGATGATTAACCAGGTAATTCCAGGTTTACTCATTACAATTAGGACAGAAAAGTAAATCGTACCTATCAAAGAGAAGATTGCCATTATGCCGATCCTTTGGCTGAAGAAGCAAGCTAGCAACAGCATATCCAGCACTACTGATCATGAACATTTCGCGAGCAGCTTCGAAAGAAGGTGAACCTACAGGGCCATAGTCTTGCTGAAATATCTCTAATAAACCACCATCAGTTGTTTCACCCATTTGATTTCTACTCCGAGTATTTGGTACCACCTGCAGTGTGGTCAGATCAAGAAGGTTGACAAGAGGAAACCAATAGAACAGGTAAACAACAAATACACAACGACAATTGCTCAGTCATGAAAGACGTAGACTTGACTCATTACTTAGGTGTCAACTTGTCATAAAAATGGTAGCTCCAAATATTTCATTTAAAATAAACCAGAGTTAGAGTTGTTTTTTTAAAATATCTTAGGGCCTGTTCAGATTGTAGCCAAAATAAACCTTACCAAATTTTGGCAGGATTTCTTATGTATTTACCAAATTTGGCAACAAACTAAATATAGACATTTTTTTTGGGCAATTTTGCCAAAAATAATGGTATAGTTGAAAATGGCATCAAAGTGAACAGGCCCTTAGACATTAGAGATCACTTGATTAAATTTGGAGAAAAGAGTCCAGAGCATGTTTTGAACCATGCTCATTTTAGTTGTTCTATTGTCAAATATAACATACTCCTAATTTGAACTAGAAAGGTAGCTATATTATGGGACGGAGGGAGTAATAACAAAGTAAAGTTTTCTTGTTGAATTCACTATTCACATTTGCAGGGATATTATACTGCTAAACATGACATAACGGTGTAATAAAATGTCGATTAACTGCTGTTCAAGATCAGTAATAAGTGATCCCTAGTCCATATAGATACAAGGAACTAAATAACTACAGATGGATGCTTACCTCAATTATGCCTCGCTCTGGTCCAGTGGGTAAAACACCATATGGGAAGAGATAAAGGTTTAATCCAACAGCTTGAAATATGTCCCTTAGAAGAGCAATAACTTGGAGTGCCAGCACATCCTGTCTACAATCATCACCAACCTGTTGTAACATAGAAAATGCTCATGTCAACTGTGAAGCACGTTGGATGCTAGACACTAAGATGGTTCCTGCCACATTTGCTGCATCCTTCAATAGATTTACTTATCCAATGCAAGTTTTAATTTATGTTCAGTTAATTTATGAACTGAAATTCCATAGTAAACATGAATTGAGACTTATAGCTCCATAACTCGTTATATCCATAGGTTACAACCATGAGATTTCACTGCAAAAGATATATTTACCTTAAAAATGCAAGCCTGTGGCTTCACATCGTTTGGGTCCCCATCACGATCAACCACATTGAAAGTAATCATTATTGGAACTTTAGCAGCAGACTGGAGAGGAATGCCACTGTCTACTTGAATGCCCCGTACAAACTTGTTTGTTGCAGTAGGTAGGTACAGATCATCACCTGGCACAGTAATCTTCTCCAGCTCCCTGCAAGGACAAGTTTAGGATAATGAGATACTAATAAGGACATATTTAATTGGAACCCGCATGAGAAGATTGAAATTATATCAGTAGAAAGCTCTTGATCTTCAATGAAACATTACAGTGGTTTTTACTTTGTACCTTTTAATACCCGCTCGCCGCTCTTCTTTGGGAAGAGGAAAAAGAACACCAGAAATCGAGGTGACCTTGTCAAAAAATTCGAACTCTCTTTCAAACATGTCACGAGCTTCTGGAGTAAAACCGTCAACAATTTTCTCCCTAACGGCAGGAAGCAAGGAATGGAATGCAGTGGCCTGAAAAATAATTGGAGCTATTAACACCACATTGCATATCTTCGAGCTTGAAGGAGGGCAGGAAACAAAACTGTATGACATTGCCACAGTTTTATAAAACATCTCATATGAACAAATTACAAGTCAAAGTTACCATTTTAGTCAGAAAAGCATCACATTGGAAGGGCAAGAAGCACAAGGACAAATAATCTCATGTTTCAAATGCATCATGCCTACCGCAAGTCTAAATGTAATACTACGATATGAGGTTCTTCATACGCACAAGAATAATGCATAATGAATTGTTCAAGCCCTTTATTAATGAACTAATACAAACAGAAACAATAGTACAGTTCCATGAAGGGCTAGAAAACTTCTGGAAACTCAGATTATCAATTACCATCACAAAAAAAAAAAGAGTTCCAAAAGAAAGAAAAATGGTGCTTCACCGTGAGGTTAAAAAATGGGGTAAAAACTAAAAAGGCATAAAGGCTTCAACAAGTAATTGCCATGTGCCTTATCAAACAAACATAACTCATTTTTAACTTATGAAGATATATGACTTTGTCTTTAAAAAGCACCACTCTTCTCAATAAACTTTCAGACAAGGGATATAATAGAATGACATGTTTGGTCAAGAAAAAAAAAGACATGGTTTCTTTTTCAAGGTGGTGTTGATGATGCAACAGAATATGAAAGTCGAAGCAAAGGTACATAAATCTTAAAACATGGATACCTTTGGTGCAGCTGCTTCCTTCCCAGGTTCATCGGGAACACATTCTCCCTGCAATTTACATTTCCTAACTCAATTAGATATTCAAATAACTCAGTTATCGAACATCGCACTAGGCATATATTGAAGAATGAAACATGTTTTTTTATATTTGAATAGAGTAGAATATGATAACATGGTATAACAGAATAAAAATAAAATAAAATTTACCTGCAGATGCCATATTAAAATATGAGCAAATATATTACTTCTCCGAGCAGCTCCAAGCAAGTATCCTTCAACCAATTTCTGATGAGTTCAAAGGCAAGAAAAAATGAGACGAATGCATTACATTCTTTACGAGTAATAAAGTAAGGGCGCAGATTGAAGCAATAAATGTTTTCCTAGGGTGCATTCATAACATAATAAATATATATCACTGGAAGAAATTCTCACATCATCATCATATCTGAGAGACTGTACCAACTGTGGCATAAAGAAGGTAACAGTCTCAGGTGGGTAAGTCTCCAGGACACGAAGAACATATGCCATAACACGGGGATGTCCTTTATAAGGAGGGGTAAGAAACTCCAATGCTTGTGTAACAGAGCATGGAGCCCAATGTGGAAGTTGCTGTAACAATGATGAATTTTCATCTACTGCCTTTGGAGTGATGAAAAAGGGTAATGCTTCAGGAATTGTACGGAGTTCCAATATATGTGTCTACAGGGACAAGAGAGCATTGTAAGACATAACAGCATATGGCACCCTTCTTACTGAAAGAAAATAGCAGTTGAACAATTTACGAAATACACGAAAAAAAATCAAACACAAAACACTATCACTCAGTCAGCAGATACACCTACTACCTCGACTCTAACAAAATAAGCCAGGAGAAAATCTGACTTTTACTACACTCAGATACTGTTTATTTGGTTACATGAGTTCAAGTGGAAGTTCAAGTGTTCAACACAGTGAGAGCATCCGCTAGTTCCAAAATTCCAGTATTTAAGGTAAGACATAGCAG